TGGAGGAGTCTCTGAGCCCAGACTTACGTTCAGAGGCTTTCTGGTGAACCTCCCCATCAGGAAGTAGGTAGGAGGAAGCTTCTTTATAAATGTTTGCCTGGCTGGTGGGTGGTTTCATAGGGGCTCCACAGGGCCCTTCTTAGGGGGCTTGGAGCAGAGCGTCTGTGACCTGGCAGCCTCATGTCCACACCAAGAACAACCGCAGTGAGGGGAAGTCACAGCGGCACGCTGGGCGGCAGGCACGTGGGGACTGTGCGGGGAGAAGGGCTACTACCGCGTTCACGGTCCAGGTCACTGGATGTGTCTCAGAGCGCGACTGACTGGCCACGTGTGTGCAGCGGGGCCTCAGATCTTTTCTTTGGTCTCCATGAACTCGCTGAGTCACCTGCTTCTCCCCGACAACCTGCCTCCCTGTGTCACTGCCCAGATGTCCAGGCCCTCTCTGTTTCCCTAGCTCTGTTGCTTCCTAATTAGAAAGTGAAAACAACATTTCTCCTGAGCCTTCTGGAGTGGGGTGGGGAGGGGGGCTGTCTGTACCCGATCGTTGTGACTGGTGGGGGTGTGATGGCAGAGATGGCGGTGGGCACGCCTGAGCCTGTGTCTTGCCCCGAGGAGGCTAGACGCGTCGAACCTGAACGTGAAAGATCCTGGAAATGGAAAGTTGGCTTCAGTCCCCAGCCTCCCTCAGTTTCCCCTAGGCCAGTTCCGGGATCCCAGAGAGCTTTTATTCTCTGATTCTTCCAGGCAGGAACAAATGATCAAATCTTTTCTGAAGTTACCAAACCACTCTCTTGCCCTCCACTGCCTCCATCCCCTGGCCAGGCAGGGGCGGAAGAAGGAAGACTTTCAGAGCAGACATCCAAAGTCAATAGGTGGAGTGTCAGGTGACAGGGCCCAGCCCCTCTCATAAGCCACTGGGGTCCTCCTGAAAACTTGCTGTTTCCTTGTTCCTGGTCTGAACTTGGCCTTTAGCCTAAGCTTTGCCTGGCGGCAGCCTTTGAGAAAACATCCTCTGTGATCCTCTGCAACCTGTGCCCAGCCGAGCCTCCACATTCCCATCTGTACAATGGCGTACAATCTGCTTCTTTCCAGTGACACATACTGTAGTTAGTTTTCAGCTGTCTGTGCTACACGGATGGCGGAGAGTTGTGTTTCCTGACCAGTCTGTCCTTCCCGGGCCAGGATTTAAAGGAGTGAACTCTCCAGTGCCCTCTTCCTGAACTCTTGTCTGAAGTGCAACATCGTCAAACTATGGGACAACTTGGAAAATGCTTTCGGTCACGGCCATCATGGCTGTCTTCCTTCTAAGATACTCAGGGTTGGGGAACCAGGAGTCTGTAATATTAGGGAAAGAAGTGGCCCTTGTTAATTGAACCTCTATGCTCAGAGCAAAATTGGTAGGTCTAGATCAGGGCAACAAACAGGCAAAGGACGGGAATTGGTCAGAGGCTGGAAGAGGCAGAACATAGAAAAGCCCAGATGCCAATCAAGGAATGTTTCAGCCAAACAGGGCCAGGAGGCAAACGGCAGCCCGCTGACCCAGGGCTTCAGTGCTCGTGATGACTGCAGGCCTCTAGGAGTGTGGCATTGGGTCCGTCCCGGCAGCTGGCATTTCTCTGCTGCCCATCTGGTTTCAGCTGCCCCCTTGGAGGGTGGGCCGTGGGGTGATGGCTCAGACCCTTGTTGACAGTGAGGGGAGCAATTTGGCCTGGGAGGGCCAGTGCCTGTAAGTCACGCTGTGTCACTTCAAGAAAAATGGAGGGCTTGGTGGCCCTGGACTTGGCATGCAGCACCACCCACAGAGAGTGACTTCCTTTAGCACGGGCTCTCCATTCTCCATTCAACCTCTGTCCAGCTCTTGGCCCTGGATTATCTGCACCAATGGAAAATAATCACATAATCCATGTCTACTTGACTGAAGTGAAGTGTAAGTCCTTTCGTGGAAATATCTCCCTCTCTGTATCTGACGGGAACTGATTCTGTGCTTCCCAGACCCCATTGGCTCCTGGAGGAGAGGAAGAAACCACCCAAATCCTGGTGGAGCATATGAGAAGTCGGCTGTAAAGTCAAGCGCTTGTCCGAATTTACCTGTGGCAGGTGGACACCCCTGCAAGTGATTAAGAGCTGAGCTCGCGTTTTGCAAATGCCAATAAGGACGTCAGGGCTGGTCAGTGAAGTTTTAGCTCTTAGCTCCAGCTGTCTGAACTTTTCCACTTCACTTAGCCAGGACAGGAATAGGTCAGCTCAGTGACTGAAGAGAGCAAATTACTGGAAATGGTTATGAGACGTTTTACACAAAGGCCTAAAAGAGGAAAACAAGGACTTCTCTAGAATCTTAAACAGGGAAGGGCATGACCAAAATAAGCAGGCTGTGAGTTCAGCACGGCGGTGCAGTGCCATGACCAAGGATTTCGTTTGTGGCTGCCTTGTGTTCAAGCTGGCTACTTTCTGTCTCCTCAGTCTTCTCATCTGTAAAATGGGGATTATCTTGCCTACTTTAGAGAAATGTTGCATCAAGTGAACATAGCATGTGAAAATACCTAGGAGTGTGCCTGCTTTGAGATACTCAATGAACAGCAGCAGCATTGTTATGTAGCAAGTTGAGACTGGGAGGGTTGCTCCCTAATCCAGAGAACATGCTTGATCTTAGGAAAGGGAGTGCTTCCCTGTATCTTGGATACTTCCCATGGACACTTGGCTGATTCCAGCTTCAGAGATGGAAGTTCCCCTGCTCCTCATCCCAGAGGTGTGGGTATCAAGCTAGCTGGGGATATGAGATTAAAATCCAGAGTGCTGACAGTTCCCAGTGGTGGCCATGGCCTTCTTAGCCTCCTTTGCCTCTGGCCCTTTAAATCCAGGCCCCTGCCCCTCTCCAGGTATCCGTTAGCCCATAAAGGAGCACCTTAAGCCCATAAAGGAGTGCCTTAAGCCTTAGGGGTTCCCCCACTTCCTTCCTGGCCAAGATTTCACTCAGATCTTATCTCTGCTCAGCTCCAAAGACTTTGCTTTTGGCTCTGCTCCATCCCTTTGAGCTTGTACTGGCTCTCCCCACTGGTGGGCCTCAGCTTTCCCTGGAACACTCTGATGTGGCAGCCTCTCCTACTTCTGGAAGCTGCCCCTGACCCCAACCCCTTGGACAACACCCTGGCCAATGGGTTCCGTCCTTCCCCCAGGCAGGTGGTCAGGCAGAATGCCCAACTGCTGCACCCCAGAAAGAGGCTCACAGGGGTGCAGAAGGAGGAAGGTGCCAGCAAAGGGTGGTCAAGGGAAGCTAGAGGAGGTTGGAGTCAGATCCTCCGTATCAGAGTGGGAAGTGGAGAGCCTCAGTTGGTTTTACGGTTTAATGCAGGGATTGGCATTAAGGCTGTAAATTAATTACCACTCTTGAGCCAGATCCAGCCTGTGGCCTGCTTCTGTAAATAGTTTTGTTGGAATACAGCCAAAAGTTATTCACTTCAGGATGGTTTTGGCCACTTCTGGGCTGCCAGGGTGGAGTGGAGCGGTTGCGACAGAGGCTTTACAGCCTGCAGAGTCGGAAGCATTTGCTCTTTGGCCCTTTATAGAAAAGGTCTGTGACCCCTGATGCAGTGCATCAGGCTGCCCAAAACGAGGAATGATTTGAGGAGCCCATTCCTGTGAGATCGCTTCAAGCTAAACCAATAGTCCAAAACCCGGGGAAACACGTACAATGTCCCCTGACCCTCCACCAGGGCTGTTCACAATGCACCTTGGTGTATTAAAGTCTTCCAATAATCCTGCACAAGACCTACTTTTGGTTTAAGCCACGTTTCCCAAACTTCTCTGATCTACCAAACCCTTTCCTCAGAATAGCTCTTAACAGTCCTCAGAAGCTAGCGTGTTGCGGATGCCTCTGGAAAACACTGCTGGAGCGGTCCTGTAGAGTCTGGATTTGCTCCCGTTCCTGCATGCAGTGAGCTGAGGGATCATGATTGGACTCTATACCTCTGAGGGCCTGTTTCCACATCGGTGGGAGGGGATGATGGTGGCTCTTCTGTCTGTCTTACAGGTGTTTCAGGCAGGCCCCTGAGATCATGTGCATGAAAACAGTCTAGAGCGAGGGGTGTGGTGTCTTTGATTCTTGATGATGACTTTTGCTCTGATATGTTGTTTAGCAAAGGTGAAGTGAGGAAAGAGCTAGGTCAAGGTCATGAGTTCCCTTTCTAGTCCTCATCCTTCTGCTCCTAACCGGGTTAACTGAGTGACTCTCAGCAAGCTGTTGTCCCACCACAGGGTCTCAGCTGTCTTACCCTGGGCAGTGGGTTTTAGACTGGTTGACTTCTGAGGATCTGGTAGTGCTGAAGTTCTGTAATCTGTTTGGTTAGGTGCAGGCAACTTCACTGCTTAACCAAAACAGTGAGTCTTTCTCTCCCAAACCATGCAGACCGTATCATATTTATGTTCTCTGGACAGTGTCTGGGTTCAGCCCCAGCTTCGCAGAGGCAGTAAGGTAGGATTTCTGGTGCTGCTGACAGCTTAGGAGGCAGGGCTCAGCCTTCTGGGAATATCTACCTGACAATTCCTGACTTGATGCTGGAGCCTTTCTTTCCCTTCTCTTCCATTGCTCAAGGGCTGCTCTGTCCAAACGTGAAGCTCAAACAGCTTGTTGACAGATCTGGCAAAGTAAAAGAGCAGAAGTGACACCTGACTAGATGTGACACCTGGGACCAGAGCCAAATCCCCCAACAAGCATGTGATAAAATGGCTGCAAAGCAGAATCCACTTAAAGTTCCTCTTGGCCATCCTCTTTCTGATCCGCCCCTCTTACCATAACCGCTTTCCAGCTTTATCATCAGTCCTTGGTATCAAGGATTTATAAACAGTTGAATAAGAGGAGCTTTATGAAGAAGATGAGAATCTACTGAAAAATACCCTTCTCCTTCATGAACTTAGGAAAATCCCAGAAAATCTTGACTGGGTCAAAAGGTCTATAGCATAATCAGTCTGGGGCCAAGTGGGGAGGGATGAATGGGGAACAAATGTTCCTCCTGTTGGTCCCCATGTAGGGACCTGTGGGATCATCTATGGGCCCCCCACATTGAAAGAGGTTCAGAGCATCTTCATGGGCAGGGTCACCACAGGCCACAGAGACCATTTCCCTCCAGTCAGTCATTCAGTACAATTATTTATTGGGGGCTCTAGTGAGCTGAAGTTTCGGGGATGTAGTGAGGAGGATAACACACAATTACTGCCCCCAGAGCTTAGAATCTACTGGAAATGAATAGAATCAAATGTGTGCAGTAGGCTGGGTGCTAACAGACATCAGAAAAGGGAGCACCTATAAGGGCTAGGAGTGATCGTTGAAATTTTGTTAACATTGCACTTTGATTGTAAACCTCTCGTATTTTCAACCCTCCAGGAATGGAAATTTCACGCCTTATCCAGGTCCACTGACCTCCACCAGTAGTGAACTGATTCTTTCTTGCAGCCTTCTTTGAGTCACAGTGTCTCCTATGACCTTGGAAAATGCTTGCTTCCTTGGCCCAGCCTTTGTCTCCCTAGACAGAGTCCCACTCCCCCAGCTCCCTCTGCCCCAGCTCGTTCACGTGGAGGAAGGAAGAGAAGAAGCTGGGCTATGGTATTTGGTCCTGGTTCCTCTTCCACAGTGACAGATGGGCTTATCCTGCCATTCCTTAGGGTCCCGGGTCCCTTGCCGGGAGACTCAGGCGGCGTGGAGAGGAGGAGAGTCAACCTGGAGCCTCTTCCTTCCCACCTGGGGTGGCTGGGCTGGCTGGAGGCCCAGGTCCGGGAACTGTGTCATCTGAATCAAGGTGACACCTGGTGACCTTCCTGTCTTCTGAGCTGCATAGACACAGAGCACATGGTGAGGGTCCTGGGCACTGAATCTGATTCCCCAAGAACCGCCTCACCCTCTGCAAGCTTCAAGGACCTCCTGACACAGAAGATTTCTACTCAGACCCTTAGATCCGCAGAGACTGGGCCAGGCCTTCAGGGCCCTGGGTCTGGGAAGCTTAGCCCCTTTTGCTTGCTCCCAGAGTATCTCACCCTTTCTTTGACACATCTAACCACCATGGAGCAGTCACTTTAGATGTGTTTAAACCTGGGCCTGGTGCTGTAAGAGGTCTGCAGAGGGTGCAGGTATAGTTTGCCCCTCTGGGCCCTGCCCTCCTGTCTGCTGCCAGCATTGTTCACGTGGATCCTAGGCCTACAGTAAGCAACGGTCTCACTGTTCTCTGAAGGACTTCTCCCTAAGCTCTCGGATGCCACCAGGACATAAACAAACAGATGACTTTCCCATCTGACAGATAAAGGAACCAAGGCCAAGCCTGGCTAGCATGGCCCAGACTAGCATTTAGCATTTCCACATCCGGCAGTCCTGGCCCTGGCCCTGACCCACCCCAGTCCTGAGGGTGTCAGAGGGGAACGAGCCCTCCCATCCGTGGGCCTGGGGTGAGTTAGACCCCACTCACAGCTCCCCTTCTTCTGAAGCTTCCTCTTCCACAGAACAAGGGTCACCAGCAGAAGCGGGCACAGAGCTGACGAGACTGGGGTCAGGATCCCGGAGAAGTTCTTCTCTCTCAGAGGAGCACTGCAGAGAAGCCGCAGGAGTGGGCATCAGAAACGCACGAGAGAGCGGGGCCTGGAGCGCCCTGGGAGGCCGAGGCCCTGGGGCATCACCCCTCATTTTACAGAGGCCACATGGAGGCCTGGGCCGGCCGGCCGCCCTCTTCCACGGCTGGTGGGTTAGTCGCTGACCTGGGATGCAGTCCCCTGCCTCCCAGGTCCCAAGTCCTCAGCCCTGCCCCTCCCTGACCACCTGTGTGGGGTCCCTGCCAACGGGCCGCGGGGGCCAAGAGAACTGAGTCAGGCTCAGGGAATCCACGCTAGGCATTTGGCTCTGCCGCAGTCTCTCTTTGTGGCTTCAGTCAGTCACCCCGCCACCCCACCTCACCACCCACTGGAGCTTTCTTTCCTCATCCATAAGAAATGAAAAGTCCCAACAGTCCCACCTAAATATTCTAAGTATTCTGTCGCTTAGATGTTTGCTCAGTCTCGTGAAAATGCTCAGATGGTGTTCTCCCAGCGAGGACCCTTGGAAGGAGGCAGAATTCTGACCCCCATGACCCTTGCCCTTGACTGGCCTGAGGCTACAGGGGGGAGGAGGGGAGTGAGCGGACGCGGGGCATGTGAAGGTGAGCTCACTTAGGGAGCAGGCAGAGCTGCAGCCCCGGAGGCAGGTGGGGGGGGCTTGGGGTTACCTCTTTACCGAAGACTCCTTGGCTGGGGGCCCCGGGGGCCCCGCTGCCAGGGCCTGGCTTGGCATCACCTGGGGACCACCGTCTCCGGCAGGCGTGTCCAGGTCAACTTCACCGCTTCCCTCCGCAGATGCCATCTCTATGTGGGTTGGCTCTGAGGTCCACACAGCCGCAGCCGGGACGGTCCCTTCAATGGAGCCCAGGCTCTGTGGCTCAGAAGCCGATGTCTTCTCCTGGAGGGTTTCCCACATCCATCTTTCTGAGGCCAGGGTCGATGGCCTAACGGTCCCTGCAGCTGTCTCAGCGGTGCCCTGGGTCGCGCTGACGCTCTCTGTCTCCTCGCTTGGCCTGTCGGCCCCAGGAGTAGTTTCCCTCTCCCTTTTGCTGGCCCTGGCCCTGGTTGCTTCTGAATCGCTGGTGCTCCACACCAGACCCCGCGCTGCTGCACCGGTCACGCCTCTGCCTGTTGAAGCTGGACTCTGCACAGTGGGAACAGTTGCCCCGACGGAGCGCTCTACCTGGCTGCCTGCCCCTGGAGCCACCGCCGCAGTTGCTCCTGGGGTTTGCCTCTCTGTGGCCGAAGCTGTGGTTTTCCTGGCTCCTGGAGTCAGGGCAACTGTATCCCATCCTGTCGTCTGTCTTCCTGTCGTCTGGGTGTTTGCTCGTGTGCATCTTCTGGCTGCTGGGGGTGATGCTGTTTCAGAGGATTCTGTGATGAGCTCACCATAGGCCAGCGTGGCTGTGGGGATGGTTCTGGAAAGACCTGTGTGATCAGCAGAAGGAGGCCTAATAAGAAGGCTATCCGGGCTGCCTACAGGCTTTAGCAAATGACATCAGGCTTGAGGTGTTTGCTGCATAGGATGCACCATTGCTAAGCAGTGCAGTCTTCGGCCAATGTATTAGATAAAATAAAAAATTGGGAAAACCAGCTGTATTCTCCAGTCTGTTGCAAATATTGACACTTTATGTTCCTTTCTCCTTCTTTTATACCCACATGTTCTCTATCCAGCTGCCCCAGAACCCCATGCTGTGTGCTTCCCCAGAGGCCCACAGCCCTTCACGTACTGCTCTGCAAATGAGAAAAAAAGAAAAACTCCAGTCACAGCAGAATAGCCAGTGTCCGCAGGTGGTTAGAGAGCAGCCTCTAATCGAACAGTCCTCTCTCTGGACTCCTCCCTGCCTTCATCTCCTCTCACAGCTTGATGCCCTTCCCTGGATTCCGGGTCCCTGACTCCGGACAGCTCTCCAGAACCAGCCACACAGGACCCCGGCCTGGCCGCCATCAGACGCCTGCTGAGAGGCTCAGTCTTAGGAAGGGCTCAGTCCTGCCCATCTTGCCTGCTCCGCACGTCTGAACAAAGAGACGTGACCACAAGAAGCCACATTATCTAACTCACCGGCTTCACGGAACCCTCTACAAATCCACGTGCCGCAACGTTCAGGGGTTCCCAGTGTTGGGCCGTTGAGTGCAAATGGGCCATTTTCCCTGGTATCTACCTTCCCTCCGTCTGAAACGCAAGCCCGCACCTTGGGTCCTTGCATGACCCCACTGTCATCATCATTGTCCCCGCGTGTAACGCCCTCCGGGGCCTCTGGGCTTCCCGTGGTCTCCTCCCCTCCCTAGCATTCTCGTCACCACACCTGCCCCGCCAGCCGCCGGCCCTGACCTGGAGAGACCGTCAGGTTCATGCTGAAGAACAGGGCGTTGTTTGAGCTCCCGAGGCCGCAGCGGTAGCGCCCCTCGTCCTCCGGGGACAGCCGGGACAGCCTCACCACAAATAAGCCTCTTCGGGGGAAGTCTGCGAGGGCCACGCGGCCACGGTAGCGCAGGTGCGTGTAGCGGTTGGTGGACACCACGGTGCGGCAGACCCCTGCCGGGGGCCCGAGGCGGCACCAGTACTTCCTCTGGTGGCTGTTGATGGCCAAGCGGGGGTACCAACACTCGATGGTCACGGCGCCCCCCGGCTCCCCGGACACCAGCCGTGGGCCCCTCAGTGCACTGGCGGCTGCAGGCAGAGGGAGAAAGACGTCCATGGAGAAAGAGCGCCGAGTGTTGCCGCTGGAGGAGCTCTGAGCTCCAGACTCTGCTAGAATTAGGGAACAGGTCAGAAAGTGCCTCCGGGAAAGTAGAGCTTTCCTCGTAGTTGTTTAGTCGCTAAAGTCGTGTCCGCCTCTTTTGTGATCCCCCACGGACTGTGGCTCTGCCAGGCTCCACTGTCCATGGGGTTTCCCAGGCAAGAGTACTGGAGTGGGTTGCCATTTCCTTCCCCAGGGGATCTTCCCGACCCAGGGATTGAACCTGTGCCCCCTGCATTAGCAGGAGGATTCTTCACCACTGAGCCACCGAGGAAGCTAAAAAGAATCAATAGAAACGTCAGTCTTTAGCCCCTGGATCAGGAGGAGCCCCAAGGGATGGAATGGAGCTGTGTGAAAGGCCCCGTCCGAGAGATGAAAATGCAAGAATGATCTTACCGCGGTTCAGCTAACCGCTATAGAACTTACCGTGTGCCAGCTGATCTTCTGTGAGTCTGCCCACAGCCTGGGTTCTAGCCACTGGGCTCCAGTGCAGATGTTTTTTTAAAAAAGCAGATATTTAAAAGGCTGCCACCTAAGCACCTGTAAGGAGGCCAAGGCAACACCTGACGGAAGGCTGTGATTTGTCGGCATGGAATGTCAAAGGGAGATATTAGAGCAACGAGGTCCCCCTGTATAGCAGAGGGAACTATACTCAGTATTCTTTGATAAACCACAATGGAAAAGGAGATGAAAAAGAATAGATATATGTATAACTGAACCACTTTGTGGTACAGCAGAAATTAACACAACATTGCGAATCAGCGATATGTCAGTAATTTTTTCTTTTAAAAAGAGAGATGTTAAATAATAAAAACAGAAGCGTATGCTTGCTGCTGAAAGGAGAGGGCGCTGGAAGCACAGGAATCCTGCCCTGCTTGGTGGTACCTCCTAGGACCAGCGCTTGCAACATGGCTCACTTTCCTCTGGAAACGGAAGCAACCGGGTGCTGCCGTCAAAGCTGAGCAGACTGTGAGTATGTCTGCTTCGGCAGGGGCTGCGGCCGTGGCTGAGGCTCAGTCCATGGCCCTTTCACTGACCACCTCTTCACACTGGCTCTGGGATGTCTCTGCTCCTTGACGAAATCTCAGATGTAATTTCAAGTACAGTAGCTTTCGTAGTCTCGCTTGGGTAAGAAAACATACAGCCTAATGATTGTTGCAATTCCAATCTCTTATCCTATTGAAGCTTTTTCCTTTCTTCCAGCTATGCTTGGAGGCCTGATGTTTGGGAGGGGGACAGCTCAGGTCTCTTGCTTTGCTGGACCTCTTTCTCTACTCAGAACTGCTGTTGGGGCCCCTCTGGGGCTGGGTGTGGAGGGGAGAGGGGAGGGGAGGAGTCCTGGCAGCAGCTGGCACCCTCTGGACAAGGCAGCATCCAGCGTCGCGTCCTTCCCCGTTGCCTCCCAGATCCCCTGTCAGGGCCTCTGGCTGCAGTGAGTTCCCTCCTGGCAGGAACTGCCTCCTCTCCTGCTGGCCTTTAAAGCCCATGACCTGGGGCCGTGTGCCCCTCGGGTTGGAGTCACAGTCCCCTGTGGGTGGCCCTGTTGCTGGAGGCCCTGGGGCAGCTCCTTCTCTGGGATCCACATTTGGTCCCCCCTGGAACCGAGCTGTCGGGAGACAGCTGGGACCACAGCAAGCTTGTTGAGTGGCTTCCTAGAAGCTCTTCTCTTACTCCTCTAAAAGCCGGGAAGAGGTGAGCCCCCTGTCCCTTTTGGACAGGTGGTGGAGAGCACATCACGCTGCCTCTCTCCAGAAAGCTCTTCTTTCCGACCCCTGATGATTCTTTGGGAACGACATGGGGGGATTTTTCTGGGACAACCAGCTTTGCCATCTCTCTTCACAGTCCTCTCCATGTGGTTCAACATCTTGCTTTAGGATACGGGTGCCTGGCATCTATCAATCTGTTCTATGTTTTTGAAAGTGAAAGTCGTTCAGTCATGTCCGACTCTTTGCGACCCCATGGATTATAGAGTCCATGGAATTCTCTAGACCAGAATACTGGAGTGGGTAGCCTTTCCCTTCTCCAGGGGATCTTCTCAACCCAGGGATTGAACCCAGGTCTCCTGCATTGTGGACAGATTCTTTACCAGCTGAGCCACAAGTGAAGCCCAAGAATATTGGAGGGGGTAGCCTATCCCCTCTCCAGTGGATCTTCCTGACCCAGGAATCGAACCAGGGTCTCCTGCATTGCAGGTGGATTCTTTACCAGCTGAGCTATCAGGGAAGCACCTGATCAGGAAGCAGTGTTTAGCACCGCTGACCCCAAGAAAGTTTAACCCTGTTGCCAGGATTGGCTACATAATTTGCAAGGCCCAGTGCAAAATAAAAATGGAGGACCTCACGTTCCAGAGTCTCTAAGCATTCACAAGGCAATAGTAGAGTTTTAAACCAGGCACCTTATAAATGGGGCCCGGTGTGACTGCATAGGGTGTATGTCCGTAAAGCTGGGCTGCCTGCTGCATGTCTTAAGGTCTGGTTATAGGAAGAGTCAAGGCCATAAACGTTAGAGATAAATCAATACTCACTGACACACCGCAACTGTGCCACTGTTGATGAAGTTACATAGCAACTTATCATAAAAAGCAAGAATCTTTGTAATCACAAGCAAGGAGTGTCTCAGGACAGCAGTGACAGCGCTCTGATTTCTGGACTCTGTGTGTGACCTATGTGTGTGTAGGGGGAGGGGGCAGAGCACGAGGGTTAATGAGCCCCATTGATCAGCAGGATGGGGTGTTCTGACTTTGCAGTTGAGAGCTGATTAGGAATCCTTAATCAACTTTTGCAATGCACATTTTTTTTCTTTTATCAATACCAAATTTCATGCACCCTTGAGAACTTGTTCAGTGGATAACTGGTAGCTCTTGCATGAGTCCGTGCTAAGTTGCTTCAGCCATGTCTGACTCTTTGCAACCCTGTGGAGTGTAGCCTGATAGGTTCCTCTGTTCAAGGGATTATCCAGGGAAGAATAGTGAAGTGGGTTGCCGAGCTCTCCTCCAGGGGATCTTCCTGACCTAGGGATCAAACCTGCGTCTCTTACGTCTCCTGCCTTTGCAGGCTGGGTCTTTACTGCTAGTGCCACCCAGGAGGCCCAACTCTGATGTAAGCTCTTAGTTATATATGATGAAGGTTTTGGGAATTTTGTACTAGTTGACTGTGAGAATTAAAGAAAGGGCTGGCATTTTAGGATCAGTGTGATGGCTCCCGGGGACCCCTTTGGTGGAGATGGTGCCCCTGCGGTCAAAATGATTTTTGCAATTCCAATCTCTTATCCTATTGAAGCTTTTTCCTTTCTTCCAGCTATGCTTGGAGGCCTGATGTTTGGGAGGGGGACAGCTCGGGTCTCTTGCTTTGCTGGACCTCTTTTTCTACTCGGAACTGCTGTTGGGGCCCCTCTGGGGCTGGGTGTGGAGGGGAGAGGGGAGGGGAGGAGTCCTGGCAGCAGGTGGCACCCTCTGGACAAGGCAGCGTCCAGCGTCGCGTCCTTCCCCGTTGCCTCCCAGATCCCCTGTCAGGGCCTCTGGCTGCACTGAGTTCCCTCCTGGCAGGAACTGCCTCCTCTCCTGCTGGCCTTTAAAGCCCATGACCTGGGGCCGCATGCCCCTCAGGTTGGAGTCACAGTCCCCTGTGGGTGGCCCTGTTGCTGGAGGCCCTGGAGCAGCTCCTTCTCTGGGATCCACATTTGGTCCCCCCTGGAACCGAGCTGTCGGGAGACAGCTGGGACCACAGCTAGCTTGTTGAGTGGCTTCCTAGAAGCTCTTCTCTTACTCCTCTAAAAGCCGGGAAGAGGTGAGCCCCCTGTCCCTTTTGGACAGGTGGTGGATAGCACATCACGCTGCCTCTCTCCAGAAAGCTCTTCTTTCCAACCCCTGATGATTCTTTGGGAACGACATGGGGGGATTTTTCTGGGACAACCAGCTTTGCCATCTCTCTTCACAGTCCTCTCCATGTGGTTCAACATCTTGCTTTAGGATACGGGTGCCTGGCATCTATCAATCTGTTCTATGTTTTTGAAAGTGAAAGTCGTTCAGTCATGTCCGACTCTTTGAGACCCCACGGACTGCAGCACACCAGGCTTCCCTGTCATCACCATCTCCTGGAGCTTGCTCAAACTCATGTCCATTGAATTGGTGATGACATCTAACCATTTCATCCTCTGTCGTCCCCTTCTCCTCCTGCCTTCAATCTTTCCCAGCATCAGGGTGTTATCATAGCATTCGTTTATTAATCTACTCTTTCAACATTTTTTTTTAGGCAGTTACTTGGATACTCTGGGTGCAAACTTACTGCCTTCCTCAGTGGCCCCCCATTACCATCAGAATAAAGCTAGACACCACAGCATGGAGACAGGACTGATCATCACACCAGCCTGCAACTTGACTTCCGTCCATCTGTCCATAATGCCTGGCACAGGGTAGGCCCTCCATAAGTGGGTATTGACTAAAGAAGTAAACGCATCAATGTAGTTTTTATTTACCCATCTGGTTTCTTTGTAGACCATGCACTCTTTAGGGCGAGGTCTTCGTCTTTACATGCCTGGAACTGGGCTTGACACTTGAGTTATTTTAGAATGAGTGCTAATAGAGCAGTGCTATCCTGGAACCCACATCTGGCAAATGCAGCCGACTTTCAGTCATCAACTTGAATGGAAGAGGGCAGAGACAGATCAAAACACTGAATATTCCAGCGATCATTTAGGTCGGACATACACACTTTCGTGTGAGCTCTTGCCTCCCACACTCTCCCGGGCCCAGATCCAATCACTCGCTTGCTCCAAAGCCATGGGGAATGCCTGCACTTTGGAGGGGCTGCTGAAGGCCCCTGAGGTGCCCTCCAGGCTGCAGCCTGGAAGGCTTGGGTCTGGGTGTGCAAGCTCTGAATCTGGCTGTTTGGGACTCACCCTGCAGCAGGCACATCAGGAGGAAGAGGAGCATTCTCCATCCTGCCCTCTGGCTGGTGACCTGCAAGAAAAAAACCACTGTCGATGAGGAGGCCTGAGGGCAGGTGAGTGAGACACCGGTCCAGTAGCCCTGGGACCTGTGTGATTACCTCCTCACTCTGGGATCGGGGTGAGCTCAGTGCTGGGGCCGGATCAGCTCCATTTAAGAGCAGGATGTCACGGCCCTTTGAGAGAAGTGTGGCTCCATCCTCATGGCCCCAGACACACACATTTGGCTTGGCTTGCTGCCTCCAAGCCTGGAAAAACTCCCTCTGTGGCATGCCAGCCCCAGCACCTGCTTGCCAGCATGGGGCTCTAGATCTGAGCACTGTGTAGTGGAAATTCTCCAAGCCAGAAGTTTAAGCCTTAGTTGGAACTGTGGGACCCTGGAAAGGTTACTCAGTGTTGGAGATCAGCTTCCTCTCCCGGGAAATGAGACTCCGTACAGGGTGCTATGCCACTTAAATAACTGGGTTAGAAGCGTCCACAGGCGGCCTGGTGCCGAGTCTCCCACTTCCCCTTCTGTTTCACAGAAGAACTGCTTCCTTCAAGGAAAAATCTCTCTCACTGGTGTGAGCCTCCAGGCAATAGCAGGAGTTAAAAATCAACTCTCAGGCCAAGTCGTTTCTGCCAAGGGTCCAGTTCAGTCTCTACTCCACAAGCTCCGAAACCCCTCCCTGGCCCGCGGCCCTCGCTGATTTCCCTGCTCTGGTCTCTCCCACCAGCCAGGAGCTCCTGGAAGGTAGGACTCCGAGGCTCCGGGCTCTGAATCGGGATCTAGCCCGTGTAGGTGCCCAAGGCACGTACCTGAGCATGACTAAACAAGTTATGAACAAGAACCTCTCACTATTTTGACAAACACCATACTGACCATTATCAATGGCCCTTTGTTGCTTGCTGGTTGAAAAAAGGCAAGGATTGTGTTAATACACAATGCTTCTTTTGTAGCCCCCAGAGGGTTTTCATGGATGCTTTTTGAGTGGTTAAAAATCTCTTCTTTGAATATATCTACTGCCTGCAGCTCCTGGGACCTATGGATACTTTTTCTAAAGAAATCAAACTGAAGTCAGCCATTGTTTCTTCCCACTTTAATACCTGTCCTGCTCATGTTGAGAACAGGCGCATACAGTCATAATCTGGTCCCCTTGCCCCACTCCCTGTCCAAGTGGACAAAACCACACATGGCCACTGGCCAGGCTGGGCTTGGGCTAAAGGAGGAGATAAGGGAACAAGGTGGGAGTGGGGGTGGGGGTGCACAGGAAACAGGAGAAGGGGGAAGGAAGGGTGAGGCAGGAGGTGAAGGAAAGGAGAGAGAGAGGAGAGAAAGAGGTGGAGTCTGTGCTTGGCTCTGTGATGCACCTTGTCGCCTCAGCATGGCTGTGCCGGCCATGTCCACTCAAGCCTCTGCCAGCTGTACCCAGGTGGAGCCCCCAGGGTGGTCAGATTTGGCAAGGTTCACAGGTTCCCTCTGCCTCCTGTCTCGGGCACCACCATGGCAGCCTCAAGCCCTCCTGCCTTCTAATCTGTTGGCTCCCTGCTCTCATCTGGAGGCTCTCCCAGGGGTGTCTGCACATAATCTGTTGTTTGATTAATATCCACCAGGTCCAGGCTACTTCTGGGACTACCATCCAGGTTCCCCCAGGCGGGTTTTTCTCAAGTGCGAAGTGCTGACACAGCGCACACTGGGGCCAAAGTCTGCACAGCCCTGCCCGGCTTCACTGAAGCCCCAGAGGGTGCAGCTATCTCTCAGCTGCAGGAGCAAAACCGCCTCTGTGGGGCAATGAGGAAGCACAGGGTGTGAGATAAAATGCCTCCAAGGAGTTATCAGCCTTGATTGGAGGTTGCAAGGATAACATTCAACGGAAAGCCTCTAAGTCATCCACCTGCCGGTGACCTTCAGGAAACCTCTCTCCAGGAGACAGGGAGCCCCAGCTCAGTAGCTTGGGTCACATACCTCTAGGATCGTGCATCGCATTTTAGAGGACAGGGCACATTGGGGAGTTCTCTTGTCCCTCAATCCCACTGGGAAGGGCTCTACCCCAGCTTCAGCCCAGGCTGGTGTGTAACTCCCCAAGTCCCCGTTGCCCCCTTGAGCCCCACTTCTCTCCTGTCCTCCCACCTGTGGCAGCAGATGAGAAAGGAAGGAGGCAGGTATAAGGAAAGAGCACAGAACCAGGATTCAGGAGGTTCCGTGTTGCCCGTAGCAATGACCTCGAGCAAAACATCTCTCCTCTCCACAGCCACGCAAAAGCTTTGACTGCAAGAGAGCCATGCTTCCTTCTCCTTCTTAATGTTAACATGTGTGTGTGCTAAGTTGCTTCAGTTGTGCCTGACTCTTTGCAACCCTAAGGACTGTAAGCCCAAAGGCTCCTCTGTCCATGGGATTCTCCAGACAAGAATACTGGAGTGGGTTGCTATGCCCTCCTCCGGGGGATCTTCCTGACCCCAGGGATCGAAGCTGTGTCTCCCATGTCTCCTGCATCAGCAGGCTGGGCTCTTTGCCACTAGTAGCACCTAGGAAGCCCTTCTTAATTTTAGTTGGTTCTAAGTCACTCAGGCGGAGAAGGCAGTGGCACCCCGCTCCAGTACTCTCGCCTGGAAAGTCCCATGGACGGAGGAGCCTGGTGGGCTGCAGTCCATGGGGTCGCAAAGGGTTGGACACGACTGAGCGACTTCACTTTCACTTTTCACTTTCACACATTGGAGAAGGAAATGGCAACCCATTCCAGTACTCTTTCCTGGAGAATCCCAGGGATGGCGGAGCCTGGTGGGTTGCAGTCCATGGGGTCGCACAGAGTTGGGCATGACTGAAACTACTTGGCAGCAGCAGCAGCCAGTCACTCAGAGGACTGTAAGGAGTCCTGCACGCCGGTGGGAGGGAGAGTGGGAGGGAGAGAAGAGTAGGACCATAGGAGGGAGATGCTGGCCTGACCTCCAGAATCCTTCCCTGGCCCCTGGGAGCACGGCCTGGCTGTTCTGGGGCAGTTGCTGCTGCCCCTCGTCACCCACATCAGGAGACAAGCCCCCAACCCCTCGGGGAAAGCCTTGTCTCACCTTTGGATCTCCAGGATTAGCTGGGGATTCTAGACCCATCTCAGTCCAGAAATAAAATCCACTTGGACTTTTCTGTTTTTGACGTGCTGGTGATTGGAAACCTTCTAGTTTCTTTTCTTTAAACCTTGAGGCTGAGTTGGCTGTCCGATGTGCTGGAAGGCAGCTGGAGTTAGCTCTGGAGACTTGGAGGGGTGAGGCATAGGGCTGCCGCTCACCTCTCTATACTCCACGCTGGTCACTGCATGCTGGGCCTCGGTTTTTATTTCTTATAACAGGGAGCCAGTCCAGATCCTTTGTCATTCTTACCACCCCTTATTCCTTATTTCCAGGGGTGATGACAGTAGCTTCAGGGGAAAAGCACTGACACATATCCTTCTACCTCTTATTTCCCCTCCAGTCCAGGGCCCAGAGTTTTTAGAGTGCCCCAGATCAGACAATTCATTCAGAACTCTTCTGGGTAAATGATGCAACAGCTTGGGGAGAAGAGAAAATTCAGGGAAGGAATTCCCCTGTTGTCTGGCTGGCAGCTGGTGCCTACGAGCTGGCCAGTCCCCTTCGACTTCCACGGGGAGGCAGCTTGAGGCCTCCATATCCACTGCGTGCTTGGCAGCTACCACTCATGCTCCGGACACAACACAATACAGTAAACAAGATGATCTCCATGGAGAGAGAACACTGGCAAATGTAGCTTATCCAGGTGGATGACGTACTTCAAAATTACCCCAATATTTCCCTGTGGAAGATATTTCATGGAAATATCTTGCAGAAGATGCAATTTGTCTGTCTCTTCTGGCTTTCAACTGATATTAAAATGGCAGGCATAGCCGAAGCACTCAACAATGACAGGGCTTCAGGGGATACAAGTGCTGCAGTTGAAGACTCTCTCCAGGACCCCTGGTAGACTAGGCAGTATTCTTGAGCCCATTAGAAATGACACTTCGTCCTTAAAATAAATAGATGTAGTTGGCATATTGTTACGTATTGGATAACCATCGGGGCAGCGTGTATTGCCTATGCTTTCCCCCTTCCAGGTTCGAGACAGAGTGGGGACAGGAAGAGTCACTGAAAGCAATAGGAGAGGAAATGAAATACCTCCAGGGGATGCCTAGAGTATGGCTGGGACAAGACCGTCTCAAGCAGCCGTGCGTGCCAGTGTGCTTGTGTTGCAGAATGCAGGTCTGGCTGCGTGCCGCTCAAAAGCCATTAAAGCGCCAGGTTGGTGGAAAGGAAAGTTTGCTTTATTTTGGATTGGCAACTGGGGGTGGGGGGGGGGAGGGGGAAGCTGGACACCTGTCCAAAGGCCAATCGCCTGCACTGACAATCAGGGTTAAGAGCTTGTATAGACAGAGGGAGGGGGCTATTTGCAGAAACAGCTCAGTCAGCTCTGACAGTCATCTTGAAATTGGTCATCAGTGATCTGGCCAGTGTTGTCTTGATTAAGTGCAGTTAATCTCCTGCTCCAGGATCTGATTTTTTTCCATTTCTTGAGGCCTGTTCTCAGAACTGTGGCAGCTTATGTCATGGCTGCAGTCTGGTCATCACGTACTTAACCTCTCCACCTGGTGGGGGTTTTGGTGTCTATACGAGCTCACGGGATATGGCTCAGGAACTAAAGGCCCTTGACTGTTCTTAATGAGCACATTATTATTATTTGGTTTCCTTCGACTGTTTCCCCTTGTTTCTGCATTTCTCACTTCTCCGATTAAACTTACTCTTTGGGTAAAGTTTTTCCGCAGACCAAAGGCAGGCTGAGAACCCGGGGGGCCAGGACCATAGGGCCCTATTCTTCCATTTGTGCACAGCTGTGTGTGCTGCTGTCCCGGGACTTGGCCACGGCCTTCCGATCTTCATGAGTACCTAGAGCCTCCCTCATAAGCTGGAACACATCTACTACGTGGATGGCCTCCCCTAAGCTGCGGCATCCTGGAGCAGTGCACAGGCTGAAGAACTGTGTGTGGCGGTCCAGCCTTCAGAAGCGCATCCTCAGATTAGAATGACCCCTGTGCAGGTGCAGAGAGGACTGATGCTTGGCTAGATTCTCCCCTCCCAGTTCCTCAGGAAGCGGTATGGCCTTGCCGTTGATCACAAAGATTTTGGAATTAGACTCCCCTAAACTAATATCCCAGTTGTACTTTTCACTGGGAAAGTGATGTGGGTCAGATTACTTATCTTTTGGAAACTTCGTTTTCCCAATCTTTATAACAGGAGAATAGTAGCACCTACCTCATAAAGTTATTATGTGAATTAAATGTGATAATCTATGAAACTTGAAGTGCCTAACAGTCAGTAAATTCTCAGTAAATATTAGCTGATAGTGTTAATAGCTTAACACATAGCAACAGGGAGCAAGTGTCTTACAATGATCAAACCTTCCCCCAAAGTCCTTTATGAATGTTTTCACCTATTCTGAGGTCTGCTGCTCTTTTGTCCTTTTTTTTTTTCTTTTGCCATTTGAAAGATTAAAGGAAAGTCAGTTTTACTCAGGATATGTCTGGAATGATCTTGTGTTTAAAAATAAATACCTGTCAAATTTTCATTATTTTATAACCTATGTGGTCATTTTGCAAAAAAAAAAAGAATGTCTTCTTTTGAAACACCTTAAAGCCTTTTTGATTAGTAAATACATGAGTTACAAAGTCTAGTTAGTTCGGATAGCATGGGCTAGTTTTCAGAGCACTGGTGCAAAGCCAAAGTGGTCCCCTCTCTGAAACTTTTACGGGGGTAAAAACTGCTGGCTACTTCTCTTGGGAGCATAACTGAATTCTCTTGCCCAACACAAAGGCACGGGTGGCCTGTTTACATGGATTTATGACATTGTGACCTTCTGATTACAGGGCCCAGACTCCAGAAAAAGGCGAAATCATACTTAGACCAAATGTCAAACCTGGGCAGAGCTTTATTCACTTCCTGACTTCCCCATCTCCAACCCCAATTCCAGTTGTAGCAAAGGCTCTTATTTGCTCAATAGACACACTAGAGTGAAAATCAGCATACAGAATGCTAACCAACTCAAAGAAAATCATTTGTGCTGAAACAATCTATATTGATCTCTCTCCTCTCCAAAATATGTTTTCTAATGTATAATTAAGAGCAATGTATAGAGATGTTTTATGCTTCCATGTTGCTAGTGGTCAAGATTTACATTCCTCCTTGCACATCACTGTATATTTTTCTGCTTACTCTACCCACACATGTAAGCTTTTTTTCCTATCCTTGTTATTTGCAGGAGAGACTATTCCCTCCTGTCCCTCCCTCACCAAACCTCTGGTCAGAATACTGAAGGCTGCAGAAAGCATTGTTTAAAAATGCTTGGAGGGACTTCCCTGGCGGTCCAGTGGTTAAGACTCTTCCTGCCAATGCAGGGGACATGGGTTCCACCCCTGGTCTGGGAACCAAGATCCCCACAGGCCTCAGGGCAGCTAAGCCCACTTGCTACAGTTACTTAGCCCACTCAGCCTTGGGCCTGTGATCCACGACAAAAGCAGTCACTGAAACGAGAAGGACTGCAACTAGAGAGGAGCCCCTGCTCCCCGCAACTAGAGAAAGCCTGCACACAGCAACGAAGACACAGAGTAGTCAGAAAAAATGAAGTCATTTGGATTACTACAAGTCTTTTATGACTTCCTTAGAAATTCATAGAGGAAGGTGAACTATGAGACTTGTCACTCCTCCAGATGATAACAGAAGAAAGTGTTTGTATAGAACAAATAATCATTCTATAATGCCATTAGCAAGCTTTTACAACCCCAATCATCATTGGACTGATAGCAAAGATTACAATCCAGCAATATTCACACCCTCCAAACACAGAAGACATTCTAAAGGCAGCCAGGAGAGTGCTGAGGTGGTTTCACTTCCTCCTGCTAAGAGCACAGAATAAAGAATCCCAGGAGACCATACCATAGCTCATAGCAGTGTACTCATAGCCTAAGATCTTAGCTGATACTCATTTCAGGGTGCTGGTGGAGACCACTGTGGGAAAACATGCTCCACAGCTCTTAGCATAAGCCTTCTGGAGTGACTTGAGACTGGGGATTAAAACAAATGTATTTCTTACTGCTTGGGATTATTGGGTTAGGATCCTATTTGAAATAGACATTATCCTGTGATGACTAACCACAGGCCCTTGCAGGATGGAAGGGACCCCAAATAACCACTTTGTCTGGAAGAGCAGCTGGTCTCCCTGAGGAATGGTGCTGGATGGGGGACTTGGGTCAGCTTGCAGGTTGTATGCTTGTTAGCAACAGCACTAAACTCAGCCTGCTTAGCGGGAGCCCAGGCTGCTCACGGGAGCCCATGGTCCTTCCCTCTGACCCTGGCCACTTCTCTTCTGTGTCCATTGTGCCAGCACCGTGGTGGCTGATGCCTGAGACTGGCTGAGGTCAGGTGGCCAAATCATCCTGTCTGCTTGCTAATTTAGTGCCTCTTCAGTGTGGATACTTTCTAGTGGGCATCAGGCTATGATACAAAGGGCTTCATGCTCCACTCCATGCTCACATTCACCCACATGTCTCTAACCAATCTTCCAATCTTTCTCTACCCAGACCTCTGAATATATTCTAACATAAGGATGTTTTTCCTTTAACATGAATTAGATGACTAGGTGCACTGCCTAAAGTTCTGGAAGGATTCTCTTGCTTTCTCTGTTTCTCAAGCCTACTCCTAGTAGCACAACTAACTGCTGTGTTACTTTCAACTTGGACCCACATATGGAACACAAGTGAAGTGAAAGTTGCTCAGTCAAGTCCAAGTCTTTGTGACTCCATGACTGTACAGTCCATAGAATTCTCCAGGCCAGAGTACTGGAGTGGGCAGCCTTTCCCTTCCCCAGGGGATCTTCCCAACCCAGGGATCCAACCCAGGTCTCCCGCACTGCAGGCGGATTCTTTACCAGCTGAGCCACAACTCCTCTATAGATGAGGCCTGGGTTTTGTTCCCCTGCCATGTGGTTTTAAGACGTGCTCCTGTGTAGCCCCGTTTGAACGGAGTGGTGGAGTGGGGGCTGGTGCAGCTGTGGTCATGGAGATGAGGGGCAGCTTACTGGCTCATGCAGCCTGCTTGTGCCCTCAATCCCAGTACTTCCCATTTCTGCTGAGTTGCTGCTGGCCTACTTGACCTTGTGACCTCGTAGGTACAGTAGCTCTCCGTTCATGACGGGCAGTTCCAGATGCATATTCATCTGGGGTCCTGTGTTCAGGTGTTAACACCTACCAGGGCCCAGTATCACACTAGCAGTAGTTTTTCAAAGGACACGTGATTCTTCCTTGTAGCTGGTATGGCCTTTCCAAAGAACCACAGGGGACTGTGTGACCATAAGCTCCACATAGCATCTTTTGCCAACATCTGTGCCTCTCAGATTAAGTGGCAGGACTGCTCCCATCTCAGCCTGGACCTGCTGCTGAGCCTTCCCCTGACCTGGGCCCCACTCAGAGGGAAGAGCATATGCCACTTGCTGTCTGGCCTAGAGCACGTTTCCCATGTGCTGCCTCCAGAGCCAGAGACTTGTCAAATATGCTGCTTCCTTCATTGGGGTGGAAGATACAGGATATGATGTCTTGTCTTTCACTTGAGATGAGAGTCCCTGGCAGGTCCCTGATCACTGAACCCCTAAAAATACTGCTGGTGTGACCACCCCCCAGAATTTCCATGAGGTGTTCCTCTGATTCATGTGT